CGATGACTATATCCCCTATCTCGAGATCACTCAACCACTGTCCAGAGACAAAAACCAAGTCCAGTGTGTTTCCCCCAGTGTGCGTAGGGCCATGAATTAGTTGGGTCAGGTCCATGGCCGTCATGGAAGCCATGAACTCCCGAGCCACCTCAGACGCCTCACCCACGGATGGCAGGTTGAAATCCCCCATGACCATTATCAGTTCACAACAGGATCGCGCCCGCACGCTCGCTTCGCTCGTGCACACGCCTTGCTTCTGCGCATGCGCAGAACGCCGATAACAACATCTGGGGCGGTGGGCAGGGCCTCCCACCGGTTTTACTACCGGTTCTTGCGAAGCGGTCCAAACCGGGGGCAACCCACCACTGGCTTAGTTTCTCCATTTATAAGCCACCCCAATTGCTAAAGCGACTCTATGGGACATGCATTATTTTAAAACAAGGGCACAAGCAGGAAAACAATAATAATAAAAAGCACACATTAGACTGCTTTGGGTGGGAGTGGGGTTCTATTAAAAGAAACACAGGAAAAATGATTCCTTCCATGTAATGACATTTTAGCAATTTAGCCTGATGCCAGATTTTACCTGTAATATAGAGAACATGATATGTGCATGCTGCTTTAGGCTTTCTTTTCTGTTTTTTCTGTGCTACAGAGGTTCCATGAAAGCCTTGTGATTTTAGCTTTACATGAAATAGCTTTTGAGATACTTAAGGCCCAATAAATCAAGACAAAGGACTGATCACATCATTGAAATGTGGGGCAAGAGAAGTTAAAATTGTGTTACAGTTACAACTACTCTGCCTATGCAGAATCCATCTTCTTAGTGTTAGGTTTCTAATGTAATGGAATGATAGGAAATCTATCCCTTGAATGTGAATCTGTAGCGTCTGTTTCTCTAGACATATTCACTACCCGCCAACACAGTCAATGAGCAAGGATCATATCTAGTGTGAATTGGTGTCATAATTACATGATTAAAGGATCAGCCTGCCTGCCTGCGTAATCCTGATTATTGCTTCTACCTTTAAAAAATGCCAGGAAAATTATTCCTTCCCAAATGTGTGTTTTAGAAGAGAAGCGTCTTCCTTTCAATTCTGAAACTGAATTTGGTTTGTTTGTGTGTGAGGTGTATTTTCATGTCTCTTGTATCCATTTATAACAGTTGCTTTGCAGATGCAGTATAATAATTGCAATAAGTTTTAATCCATTAAAAAGTATCGTTATGTCGAGCACATACGTTCATGTTTGAATTAATAACTGCGATATCCTTGAGGGAACTAACATTCCATGGCTTGGTTTGCTTGAATTGGGCATGGTTACAACTGGGCAAAGATGTGAACCCATCTTTGTATTTTGTAAACCACAGTTAAGTGTGTTTGGCCAATTGTAAGACCATGGCTTCGTAGGAGCCACAAATATTTCCATGCATTATTATTGCCTGTCTGCATTTGAAATGCCACAAATTGAGACTAATTTTTCTCAAAATTATGGCTTCCAAATGTATTGCTCTTAAACTTGTCTAATCCTAAACCCAAATGGAAGCAATCAAGTTTGGGATACAGTTAATAAACTAGCAGTTAATTAACATCTAGTTAATAAATGCAGTCTAACTAGTCTAAAACCTAAATATATTTTATTTGCATATTTTTAATTTGTGATGGGTCTGCCTTACAGCAGGATTCTTTCTTCTGCTCTAAGCCAGCAGCTGGTGTTTGTTCAGCCTAGCAGTGATTTATTGCCAATTTTACTCATGCCAAAGGGGGGGGGATCCAAAGTGTTATTTAAAGCCTCAGTATTTTACAGATTGTTCTTATTCAAACTTTCGTTTTAGATAATTTTATTTAACACAAAACCTATCTGTCAAAGGGAACATAGATCACTTTTTTATGACTGACAGAGTAGGTCATATACACAATAAACAGGAACAGATGCAATGCAGTCGATCATTCCCCACTGTAGTTGTATATGGCTCCCAAAGGGATGCTCTCTTGTTACATGATGACAGAGTGCCACTAGAGTGTCTGGCTTTGGCAGGATGGCTTCAATAAAGTGCCTCATATTTATAAATCCACTGTTACTTAAGTAAGACAAAATACTCCATAATATACAGATACATAAGCTTTGCGATTGTCTAAAACAGGGGTGGGCAACTGTGGCCATTTTACAACCTGTGGACTTCAACTCCCAGAATTTCTGAGCCAGCTTGGCTATCTCAGGAATTCTGGGAGTTGAAGTCCACAGGTTGTAAAAGGGCCACAGTTGCCACCCCTGGTCTAAAATATCCATTTAGGCATTAGTAAAGATAGAGTAGAAACACATATCAGTAGTAAAGTTTTGTTCATGTACAAAACCTTGTTCGAATAGTATTTTATGGACAGGACAATTCTGAGCAGCTGTCAGAATAATGTTACTCTGAGGTAACATGGTCTGGTACAGTCAATTTCATGGTACCTGTAGTAGAAGGAAAGAAATAAGCCATTTTCCCCCCTCCAAAAAAAAGGGGGGTTCTCATTTTATTACCTATAAGGGGAGACATGATTGCTTACTGCCAAATCAGGGCCCATTATGGGGAGTAACAAGTGACAATCATTACAATTTTTTCGATGTACACTCTTTGCTGCTTCATCTCTACTCCACCTCCCTAATAATACTCCCTCATCCTCTTTGGAAATTCTGGAAGATTTTGGAAAAATCCTGGCTTGCAGAGGCTGGAAGACAGACAAGAGTGAGGAACCAGAATTTCTGATATTTCCCTCCAAGGATGAAGCCCAAACTTTGTCCTTCAAAGAAAGGAGAAATTAAATAATTTCATACATGATATCTATATAGAGAGAGATAATTTAACAACCCCTTTAAAGTTAATAGCTCAGTTTCTCTCCCTTTCTCTCTCTCTCTCAATAGATGATAGATAGATAGATAGATAGATAGATAGATAGATAGATAGATAGATAGATGATAGATAGATAGATAGATAGACAGACAGACAGACAGACAGACAGACAGACAGATAGATAGATAGATAGATAGATAGATAGATAGACAGACCATGTGATTAACTGTATTATGGTCTCTCATATTCATTATAAGATGTTCTTCCCTTTGGCTTTTTTTATCTTAAGGCTTGAAGAACATGCTACTTTTAAAATATCTGTCAACCTTGTGCTTTGTTTTAAAACATAGGCAATAATACTAGGACTATTACCATTTATTTATTCAGCAAATTTATATGGCTCCCCATCTACCAATGGGAGTCTCAGCAATAAAAAATATAAACATACTATAAAGCTCAATTAAAAGAACCAGTTTAAGCAAATTATATGTGCTTTAAATTCACTGTGGGGCCTTACAGGATGGAAGCATAGAATGAAAAGCAAAACAAAAGAAAAAAGAACAGAAGGATCCATATAATTCTTAGTTAGGTTCTCTAATGGACTAAATAGACAATTATTATTTCCTTAAATAATTAAATAATTATTTAACTTAATTTGGGCAGGAGCTTAATTTGTAGAGCTTGCAAGTGGCATACAAAGATTAAACTAAAATACTGCTTTGAACACAATGTGATCCAGCCTTTCATAGCTATTTGGCTACATCTCCCATCATCTTTATTCTTGGCTCTGCTTGGCTATGTTTAGAACTGTAGGATCTGGAGTTCATCGTGGCTGCAAAAGATGCTACAATACAGTGCATTATGAATTAGACAGCTTCCCCACAGACAAGCTGATTGGCAAGGAAAGGACTTGGCTGCACTGAATGCTTCCTCTGGGATGCGGTCTACATGCATTATTAACAGGACAAGAATTAAAAAAAAAAGAATGAAAAACATTAATTACACTTCAGCATATGCTTTCATTCTCTCTACTTTGGCTTGAAAGAGAGCTGCGGTTGTGCGGTCAGTAAGCTTAGCTTTTTCACAAGAAAAGAGCAATCCTCAGCATTTTGGAATTTATCTAGAAACATTTGTGAGGGAAGAAAATACCATTTAGAATTATCAAGACTTCCATTTTTTCCCATTCATTCATTCATTCATTCATTCATTCATTCATTCATACTTATGTCCGCACACACATGAAAAATATTTTCAGAACATAAATATGTGCAATATGAATGAATCGGCATTTATTTCAGGAAAGCTTGACATATTTATTACGAATTCAAAGTTTATATAATAAAACATGATTGTTGGGGCTGTGGGGGGTGGGGGAGTTTATTGTGACTCTTTCCTGTTGTTTACTCTAGGGACCTACATGTATGTACTACAAAATATTGAAGCAATTGCATTTTCTGCTTAAATGATTTCTAATCCACATGGTATAGAGCAGTGATGGCTAACCTTTTTGCCATCGCGTGCCAAAAGCGGGGTTCGCGTGGGGGGGGGGTTTGCGTGCATGCGTGCTCTCATCCATAATTCAATGCACACCATCTTCCTGCATATGCGCATGTGACACACACACCCTGCACTCCCTCCACTTTTGGCACACGATGGCACGGTGGGACTGGAAAGCTCCTTTTTCACTCTCCCCAGGCTCCAGAGGCTTTCTAGGAGCCTGGGGAGAGTGAAAACAGCCTTCCTCTCCCGCTCCCGGGAGGCCCTCCGGAGGCAGGAAACAGCCCATGAAGGGCCCAGAAGGTCTGAAAATCAGCTGGCCAGCGTTCGCATGCACGCTGGAGCTGAGCTAGGGCAGCGCTCATGTGCCCACAGATATGGCTCCACATGTCAGCTGTGGCATGCGTGCCATAGGTTCGCCATCACGGGTATAGAGAAAAGGAGATGGAAAGAATTACAAGAGAATTAGGAGTAGGGACTGGAATGACTAATTAAAAATAGGCCCCAATGTGTTTCTTTAAGAGGAAAATTCCTTGATTTCCAAAATATGATGAATAGTGGCAGCAATGTACATTCCTCTCATGTAAGTTCACAGTCGAAGGAGCACATTTTGCTATAATAAATTCTAAATGAATGCAATAAAAATAAAATCTGGGTCTTTTTGTTTCAGTTTAATGTTGAGAAGACAGCAGAGCCAGTACAACCCCGGACAATCCTCGGCTTTCCTCACATCTATGGCCCAAAGCCTGTTGTGACCACCTCAGAAATTGTTAACTATGTAGATTACAACTTGAAGACAGTAGAAGAACCAAGCAAGGGAAAACCTGAAGCTCTGGATAAGAAAAGGATGACCATACAAGTCAATGAAGAGCTATTTCTTCTCCCTCAAAATGGTAGGGCCTTTGTTAAATTGCTTATGATTGCTTCTGCTTTAAATGAGGAATCATAATGGATTTTCTTTATAATTATAGAATATTATCCCAGTGCACATGATCAACATAGTAAAAGTATGCAATTAAGGGTCAGGCTTACACTGCACAAAAATATACCATATAAAAGGTGAAATGCACCAAGGCTTTTAACAATGTTAATCTATATTATCTCTACTTTGAGCAAATTATCTATGTAATTGTTCACATCTGGCAAATTCCATCCTATTGTTCAACACCCTTATGATTTTCTCCTTTTCATAGCATCATTTTAAAAAACTCATTTTATTCTTAGGATGGTAGCTGCTATTCAATTTTCTAGGGGATTTGCTAGCAGGCATGACAAAACTTCTAGAAGCATATAAAGAAATGTATTTTGAATGGAAAAATCATTTGCACTTAATTATTTTCAATTTCTTGAGGACAGAGAGCTCTGCCTGTTATACTAATGAAAGAATAAAAGAAACAGTAATTATTTTGAGTAAGCTAGGAGATTTAATTTGGATATTAATAGATCAGCTTCCTATTTTGTGGTCTACAACCTCCTCAGAGAGTGTGATCAATAGCCATAGTGGCTGAAGGTAATTTAATTTACTTGTGTTACTTTTAAATGATTTTCTATGCAACTGCATTTCAAAGTGATTTAAATTAAAGTATAATACCAGCTATACATTAAAAGAATTTTTATAATGATGTTTTTTTTAAAAAAAATAAATCCAAATGTTGTAGGAGAAGAAAAATGAAACTGAACCATCTATCCAAAAGGTAGCCTTGAGTGAGGAGATTGAACAAGCACCTGAATGCTCTAACATTATGAACACCTTACAGATATTAGGATGCAGATTATTCCAGAGAGCAGGTGCACTTAATTTATAATTCAACCCAATCAGAAAGCACCAAGGGAAAAGCTTATGTAGAGAAAACACTCGAATGCACAACAGATGTTGACAGCTCAGTATGGCATTGTGAATCTCTTAATATATATTATTAAGCTGGTTTTAATGACAATAAATGAAAATCCAGTTCTGTTTTTCTGAACGTTTCACACAGAAATTAAACTGATACATTTATTTCCTTTAAAGAATTTAACTTGCTATTACAATTCAGCCTTTTAAAGAACAGTGGTTGCTTGCTCATGGATGCATGCACTACAATGGTTGTGAATAAAGAAAGAAAAGAAGGGAAAAAAACTTAAAAGATTCGTGTCAGATGGCAAATTGGAAATGTTCCTAGGAGTGAGGTGGAAGAGGATTCTGAAATCTTAAAGGGTTTGTCCAGTTTTAACTTTAGAGTTTCAAATGGATCATTTTTTCTGGCTACTCAGATTTTATCCTTGCTCCTATCAGAAACTCTATTCCTTTTAATAGATAGCCAGACAGATAGGCATACTATACATTCTTTAAGAATATTTCTGAAATCAACACTTGCCCAAAACACCTTCCTGAAAAATATCAAAAGACCAATGGCTTTAACCTAGTGTTTGCTTGGTATATCTGTCTCCCCTTCTAATATCAAGGGTAACCACAAAGAACTTCTGAGAAATGAGGAATGTTATGAGGAACAGTGTCACCCACTCTCCTTCTATGTTTTGTGGTTGCTTAGGTCTACCATAGCAACCATGTTGCAGATAGGCAAGCTCCTTATTGCAGCTATTTTGTAAAAGATATGACAGGCTGTCTTGTGATAAGCATGTAAGTAAAACAATCTTGGGTGGAATCGAGAAACAAATCTTTGTGCCAATAACAGAAAGATCACCCTAAAGTTATGAGCAGAAACAAAAATAAATGATGCCTTCTAGATATTGTCATTCTCATGAGATAGATTTGGCCTCTGCATACGGGAAGAGATTGACTGATCAGAGTACAAAAGATGCTGAACTTTCTTTTCCTGGTTCTAGGACTGCTGGGACCCTGCTCAGTTAATATGGGTGTCTCTAAAAGATGGGCTTGCCAAGTGACCCAGCAGACTGTCCCATGCCCTGAAAAAGGTCCTGTTATACCTTACAGCCTTATTACTAGCACCAGCTGTTGAAATGGCATAGCAGTTGAGCACATCCAGCTGAAAAAATAATTACACTCAAGCATCTCTGTTCCCCAGCTATTGGAAGAAATTTTGGCATCCAATTCCTTCCTCTGCAATTCTGAATCCGACTACATTATTTTAACTTGGCATTGTTCCAAATGCTTAGTGTGATTCAAATAAAGCATCAAGAATATCCTTCTTCAACCTTGGAGCACTCAACTACACTGGATATGTGAATACAATTACTGAGCCTTTGACCCTGCAAGTATAAACATCAAGATGGAGATGGAGGTCTTTAGGGAACTACATTTTATTGATATAGATTATATTAAGAAAGACTGTTGAAAGGCTGCATGGGTTCTTCCCTCCCTCTGATCATATTCTGAATTAGGGAGGAGTCAATGAATTTCTTCTCCTATTTTTGCTGTTCTTTGACTTTAAAGAATGCTTTCCTATATATAACAACTGCTTCTGCTTAGTTTCCTCAAGTTCATCTCCGTGGCTCTCTCCATAAATTCTTTGATGGCATGCTTTCAAAACTTTTAGAGAAATGACCAATATATGAAGGGCCAACCCCAGAAATACTGGGCAAGAATAGGCCAGTCCATAATCTCCCTGTTTAATGTCCAAAACATACATCTATAATGGTGAAGCCAGTTTTAAGTACATGATTGAATTTCAAAAGTAAATATTATGTCTAGCTCATAAAATGCCCATGGGTAGGAGATTAAAGCTGGTGACATGGGATTTCTGGTGGCCATGTATCAAGACCAAGGTCTATTGTCCATCTGTCCTATTTGCCATCAGGCCAAGGATATGTCCAGGAAGCCCACAGCATTCCTGCAACAAATATTTTTGGCTCCCTAGTACACCATCATCTTTGATTTCATGATGAAATTTCTGTGATTTATGTGTGATTCTCTATGTATACATAGAAATCCAAATTTGAAGTTGTAGAGTATAAAGAATGAAGTCAATGAAGCAATTACTTTCTTGAAAGTGGCCATTTACAGAGCAATTGTTAAGTAGTTCATCAACATTTATGCCATAACAAATGTCCAAATTTTCAAAGCATCATAAAACTTTGAGTTACAATAGCAATAGCACTTAGACTTATATACCACTTCACAGCACTTTACAGCCCTCTCTAAGTGGTTTACAGAGTCAGCATATTGCCCCCAACAATCTGGGTCCTCATTTTACTGATCTCAGAAGGATGGGAGGCTGAGTCAACCTTGAGCTGGTGAGACTCGAACGGCCAAACTGCAGTCAGCTGGCAGTTGGCAGAAGCAGCCTGCAGTACTGCACTATAATCACTGTGCCACCACTGCGCCTATCCTACAAATAGGATAGGTAATTTTATATTGAAGAGGGATAAGTGAGACCGTCAGACATTTGCAGCTTTCTTCCACAAAAACTTTGATATTCTCCAAAAGTAGTCAAAATGCATTTTGATATGATAAAAGAGGAAAATTACCATACCCAGAGATATTTTTTTTCATATTAATTCTAATTTAAGTTTAATTTTGGTCAAATCAAATTTAGCTCTGACGTAATTTACACCTATTTTTTGTCTTGAAGTATAGTTCCTAGATATTACCTGACGTCGCCTTCCAAAAGACCATCCATTCATTTGATATCATGGTTTCAAGTGGAAAGATACAACAACATGCATCAATGGTCATCTTAACTGGAATAGAACACAATTTATAATTAACATTCTTTTGAGTTTTAGGTGGTGTGAAGGATGTTTGTGTCACTGAGCACCTCAGTCCTGAAAGTGCTGCAGGCTGCAATCAAGTCCCAGAACTTCATTATTGTCTGGGCTACAACCGACAGAAAGAAGCACTGTCCGTTGCTTTCCTTGAAGGTAAAGACCTCCAGTTTTGCAAGCTGGTGATTGAAAATGATAGTACTGATAATTATAATTTATTAAACTTGTATGTCACCTGATTCTTAATGTCTCTAGCCAGCTCAGAATAATCAAAGAAATTACAATGCATTCAATAAAATGTAAAAATAAAATAAATGATGGCTAATGCGATGAAACAAGGGGTATCATTCTCTCTCGTCAACATCCTGAGTGATGAGCCAGGTCTTCATGGCTCTTCTTAACAACATCAGAATGATAATGTTTGTACGTTAACACCATGGACACCTAGAGAACAAACTGCTCAACATAAATATGGAATGTATGATATAAAACAATAAAAAAATATTTTTTTAAAAAAACATCAGAATGGGGACCATCCAAATCTCTTTGAGGAAAAAAAAGCCTGACATAGGACTATTCCAGACCTATAAGACTTTAACAGAAGACATTTATATAGTCAGTCAATTGGTGTAGTGGTTATAGGCATCAGGCTAGAAACTGGGCGACTGTTATTTCAAGTCCTGTCTCAGATACAAAGCCAGCTGGGTGACCATCTCTCTCATCCCCAGGAAGAAGGGTGAGGCAAAAATATTCTGAAAAATGTTGCCTAGGAGATGGTAGGGACTTATCAGGATTCAGGGCTGGATTTAAAGGTATAAAGCATAAAAAAGCAAGGAAAAAGCACATTAAAGTCTATTTAAAAAATCATATAATTTACTTTCCAAGCAATGATTTGCAGGAGTAGCCAATCAATTACTTAATAAACTTGAATGTCTCCCTTTTCTCCTCATTTTACTTTATTCTACATATAAAATTAAACTATTTTTGCATATGGCAAACATAACAGAAGAGAATAAGTAATTTACTAGGTCATATAAAGGTCCAATAAAGGAATCATTATCTTTATCTAATAAATTATAGTTTAATTTACCCTAGTAATAAGCCATGTCTCCATCTATTAGTTCCTTGTTCTTCCCCTCTCTTCTCATACAGCTGACGTTTGAAAAGCTTTACTGGTTTTCTATGATATCTGAATTAGGAAGTAATGGAGGGTAATGCAAAAGAATGTTGGTCACTCTTGATTAAAAAAAAGCAGTGGTATTTCTGTGGGCCTCTAGGCATTGCTAAACTATTATACAATCTAACATCCCTTACTTTGGCCATTCTGGCTAGGACTATAAGAATTATCATTTAGAGATCTCTGGATGCCCCCCTCAATCCCAACACTCCTCCCCACTGTGACAATTAACAGGTTCAAGACTACTATGCCTAATGTGGGCATATATCATTTATTATTTTAATTCAAAAATCAAACATAACAGAGTTCATTAGAAGACATTGTTATTCTCTCATTTCCTTTATCTCTAGATATTTCTAAATCACCATAAAACCAAGATCTGAACGGCATTAATTACAATTAAAGGAAAATAAATATGTTTTCTGCTGCCATTCATTTATGTCAGAATTCAACTCTGTTATCACAACAGCAAATATGTAATCTATATATAATCAGGATGACAGGTGACAGAAGTCTATAGTTTGACCCATGTCCAATCAAGCTTGCAGAAATAGAAGTTTGCTTTTTTGCATTACATCAAAACCTTGACTTGGCTCTAAATAAAATCAAATCAAATGGTTTCAAGTGGTCTCTTGAAAATATTTTAGCACAGGACTTAAATGATAATTGCATTTTCACCTTTACTCTGCCCCTACCAGTTTTATATGGAACCACATCAGGAGACCAAAACAATGGAAGTGATTGCTACATCTTAGGCACTTTGGTGAGCAACTCTGGAACTATAGAAGCCCAGACTGTGATGAAGAAGAAGCAAATCCATGTTGTCTGGGAAGAAGCTCTACTGTTTCCAGTTAAGGAGAAGATGCTGCCGGAGGGGACATTAACCCTCACCTTGAGGAACTGTGACAAGTTCTCTAGACACAGCATTATTGGTGAAATTAAACCAAATCTGGCTTCTGTAGGGGAGCAATATGGACCAGTACAGTCTGAGAAAGTGAAAGTCCTTGACAAGGTATTTTCAATTCATTTTTATTGATTATTGCATGTTATATTCTCCTGTTGGGATATAGAACGCTGCATGTGAGTGTCCCTAAACTTAAGAGTCTTAATTAACTTTATTCCATGGTCACAGTGACATTATTAGATTCTTTGAATATTTCACCATGAGCGTATAAAGACGTATTGAACGTGAACCTCCTTGGGTTCCATTCTTGGTCCAATACTCAATATCTTTATGAATGATATATAGATGAAATGGAAGGGATAGAAAGGCTGACAATGTGATACTAATTCCCGATACTAAGTAATTGGCTAATAATTTTAAGTGGTGGTTCTCAACCTTTTTTAATCAGATGCACAATATTGAATATAGTAGCAATTCTGTAGCACACCAAAAAGTATTATTTATTTATTTATTATTCGAACTTCTATACCGCCCTTCTCCTTTCGGACTCAGGGCGGTGAACAGCCAAAATAAAAACATTTATACATAAAGTACAATTAAAAATAGATTTAAAATAATTAGATAAATCTGGCCCATAGTTTAAAAATTTATCAATTTAAAATCCGTATCAAATTTTAAAACCAACCATAAAATCAAGACAGACCGACTAACTAAAAAAAATAAGTTTTTAGGGCCCGACGAAAAGTCCGGAGGTCGGAGATCACTCGTATCTCTGGGGGTAGATTGTTTCAAAGGGTAGGTGCCACCACAGAGAAGGCTCTCCTCCTGGGGGTCACCAGCCGACATTGTCTGGCCGATGGCACCCTGAGGAGACCCTCTCTGTGGGAGCGAACTGGCCGGTGGGAGGCTATTGGTGGCAGAAGGCGGTCCTGTAAGTACCCTGGCCCTAAGCCATGGAGCGCTTTAAAGGTGATCACCAACACCTTGAAGCGCACCCGGAAGTCCACCGGAAGCCAATGCAGCTCGCGCAGGAGAGGAGTCACATGGGAGCACCCGTCGCTCCCATAATCCCTCACGCGGCCGCATTCTGCACCAGTTGGAGCCTCCGGGTGTACCCCAAGGAGAGCCCCATGTAGAGAGCATTACAATAGTCCAGACGAGAGGTGACGAGTGCTTGAGTGACTGTGCGTAGGGAGTCCCGATCCAGAAAGGGGCGTAACTGGCGTATCAGGTGAACCTGATAAAAAGCCCCCCTGGCCACGGCCGTCATATCCCCTTCTAAAGACAGCCATGCATCCAGGAGGACGCCCAAGTTGCGGGCCCTTTCCGTGGGGGCCAGTGATTCGCCCCCAATAACCAGCGATGGCGTCAGCTGGCTATACCGGGATGCCGGCAGCCACAGCCACTCGGTCTTGGAAGGGTTGAGTCGAAGCCTGTTTCTCCCCATCCATATTAATCCTATATACTTATTTTTAAACATGTAAGTCATGGTTTGAGAAAAAGTTATGAAATTTTTAAGATCGCTGCACTGTATTGAATATACCTATTATATAGAATATACCTAATACAAAAAATGAAAAAAAAATAACATAAGAAAAACAGCCTATGTCACATGGCACATTAGTTGAGAACCACCTTATTAAAAGACAGGATCAAGATTTAAAGTTATCTTGCTAGGATTAAGACAAGTTCAAAAGAATAATGTTCAGTGAAGAGATATGTAATATTCAGCAAGAAAAATCAAATGTAGAAATACTGGGGGAATCTATCTTGCTGTGAGCATTGTGGGAGAGGCTTCTAGCAATCATAGAAGACCATCAGTTGGAGAAAAACAATTAGGGTAATTGTAATACAGACTTGGAATGCACTAACAGATCACACACACAGCTACATTGTCCTCTGAACTGGTTAATCCATGCAAATATAATGAACTCACCAAACTCCAAAACATGCCACTACCAACTGATATGCAAGAAAAGGAAAATCAACTACCTTAGCCCAAGGAGAGCAACTATATCTGTAACTATGCAGAAAACCAACAGGGTGGGGACTTTCTGGGTTTGATTCCAGAGGGCAAGCACTACGGCTTTTCAGCAGATGCTTGGAGGTGCTAAAGTTGAGATGCTGCTACTAAAGTCTTACTATTCTAGAAAAATTGCTTCTGAACCTAGGAGAATCCTAGCAAGTGGCTAATTATACCTCTCAAACAGATGGCCTCAGTCAATTTACAGATGGTCTCCAGGAACATACGATACCAAGAATGCCAAGAAATTGTTTGTACATAATAAGTGCAAGATATACTATCCAGTTATATTGAGCAACTGACAGCCATATTTCTCATTGATCGGTCTTCTTCAAAAATCCTCTGAGATTGTAATAAGGTAGAAATGCTATTCCCAACCTGAAAAGACCAGATTAACATGCTTGGAATTGTGTCCTCATTTTGCAATTTGACATATAGAAAGAAAGGGTAACTCACAGGGGATCTCAGAGACTGCAATCAAATTGTAAACCAAGACAGAAGTCTTGAATGAAGTTGAATCATTAATCAGATGCGAGGCAGAAAAGAGATTTTTAAAAAAGAGCACAAGGAAAAGAAGCAATATTTTTGGTACTGTATTTCCCAGATGAGCTTATTAGGTTTGTTGAAAGTTAAAGTTGTATGATAATATCAGTTTCAAGCTTTGATCGGAAAATGATTCAGTTGAATCCCCTTCTAATTGCTGAATCAAATTGATGTATCAATCAAATTGGGTGCCTCTGAACAGCTTTCTATATACAGAAACATACATTTTTCCAATCAGATATATGATTAATATTCAGTCAATTTAACTACTGAAATTGAGTTGAACTGATAATTTAGAATGATTTTGGATGACTTGAATAGCCCTGCTGAAAGTTTTCCATGTCGTTTCAACAGTTTCATTGAAAAATGCCAGATTCTTCTTCACTGTAATTCTGTCCTGCAGATTTAAAAATGGACTCAGTAAATTCATTGATTTCCAAAAAGATGTATCACATCACAGTACTTGCTGGTATCACCAAAATATAAAACTGTATCTCCTGCATTCTACCAACTAGCTTAGAAATAATAATTGTAATACAATTTCAGCATGAGTTTATCACTCATTTTAAGGACAGACTCCAGTTAGAGGAATTGGTTTAGAAGTAGATCTATCATGAAAGGCATTTGCTTCAATACTGTAAGAATATTTGAGGGCTTTTAGAAATGGATAATAACAAATATGTTAACCCATGTAATAAAAACATTTTTTATTCTGATGAAACACCACTAAAATAAATGCAAAGTGAAGAATGCTTGGATAGTTTACTGCCAGACACCAAAATGTCTTAGCTCAGCTTTGCAAATATTCAGTGCATTTCTTAGCTTAGCACTGATGAATTGAAGCTAAAGTCTATATTAGAATGGGTAGTATATTTTTCCGTCCCCTATTCATAGATTAAATAATAATTGGACAAATCAGCTGGAAGTATTTTGTCAATTGGACAAAATATTCAAATGAATATTGGGATGTGGGATTTAACTCAAGAGCCAAATCAAGGATGAAGAAGTATCAGTTCTACCAGAATCAACCATTGCCCAATCCCAAGGCCAAGAACAGCAGAGCAAAATGTCTATTAAACAATAGGAGGTGTGAGATAAAGAACCACAGAACTTAAACTACAGCTAGTATTGAAATTTCATGTAGGCAAAGGTAACCAATTGTTTTATAGCTTTTTCCTAGTATGCAGTAACAATTCTTATCTGATCATGCTGCATCTTGTATTTGAAAGTGTTAAACTGAGTATAACCCTAAAGCCTAATTAGGCCCTATGAGTTATTTAGTTAGTCTATCAAGGTCCTGTCATCGACAATATCATGACATGAATTCACTATTACTATGTGAATCCTTTCTGTAGCCACTTCACGTTTTGTATTTCTTGACTGATAGGATATAACTGTACTATTTGTCATATTTCTGCTGTTCAGTAAAATCCAATAAGGTCCATGAATTGGACTACAGATTATTTCTCACTATTGTCTATAAATAAAATGAGTTGTTGGAATAATAATTGAGCTACTCTATGTAGTGCAGCAGTCCCCAGCACCGGGGACTGGTTTCATGGAAGACAATTTTTCCACAGATGGGGGGATGGTTTCAGTTTCACTCCCTTGCCTGCTGCTCACCTCCAGCTGTGCGACAAAATTTCTAACAGGCCACAGATCACTAATGTAGTGTATCTTTAGCTAATATTCTATTACTGCCCACTGTAGTGGCAATCTTTAGTGAATGGCAAATAAGACATTTTGTTTTACAATGGCAACCACTTTTCATTTTTCAGCATTAAACAACTCTGTTAAACAGGCCTTTTTTAGGGGGGAAAAAACCCAAAATGATATATCTCTACATGAGAACTCTCTTGAAAGAATTTCACCATATTCCCAAAATAAAACTAAACTAAAATAATAGATTTCAAAATTTTAAAAAATTATCCCTTTTGGATGAAAGCAGTGGAATCCATTGTTTATAGTCTGGTTTACTGCATTTTGAGGGAATTTATTCAAGCCAAGATGAGATGGATGTTTCAGTGGTATACATAATTTGAGCTGAATATATTCTTCCTTATCTTTCACTCTGAATTCTCCTGAGAAAACTGAGTTTTAAAAATGTAATTGGAGCTATTCCAGGCAAAAAAGACTTTCAAGAATACATCTACCCTCAGAGAGGGGAAACCATGTCTGTAATAATCTGGGTCATCTAGTCAGAAAAAAAATTCTGAAATATTTATACCTCTCTAAATAGCTTTTTCTTGTTGCCTTGCCGGTTTTTATTTTTTATGCAAGATATTTTATGTACTATGGCTAGAGTCTGCTCTTATAGGACATCAGATTTACTCTTAAATACTTTATACTCTTACATATACTTTGGGGATTTCCCAAAGTATGTGCAAAGGCAAACTTTCCTCTTGTGTATTTTGATTACATGATACTTGGTGCTCTGAAAATAACATTGCCGCTAGTACATAGGGGGAGTGGGAGTCCCAAGGCTAATTGTGTATGATGCTCTGAACTTATTTTTAGTAACCTGTTCCCATTTTTAATATAGAATTAATACAGTGAATATTTATTTCCAGTTTCCTTTCCCTTTTCTCTTCCTTTCACCTCTTATAGATTTACTCTTCTATCCACCCCTTGCCTTCCACTGGACGAGTCCTTATTAAATTAATTTGTGACTTTGAGATCAACTAACAAATAAATTTTAACCTGCTGAATATAAAGAGCCTTGGTGGCGCAGCTGACTAAGTGCTGTTAAATAGCACCAGCTGCCTGCAATTACTGCAAGTTCAAATCTCACCAGGCTCAAGGTTGACTCAGCCTTCCATCCTTTCGAGGTAGGTAAAATGAGGACCCGGATTGTGGGGGCCATAAGCTGACTTTGTATATAAAAAAAAGAACACCGTTTAGGGGAGGCCGAAAGCCCTACTAAGCAGGGTATATACAAAAGTATGAAGGCTATTGCTTAACGCATTGTAAGCCGCCCTGAGTCTCTGGAGAAGGGCGGCATATAAATCAAACCAATAAATAAATAAACAAATAAACAAATAAATAAATAAATAAATAAATAAATAAATAAATAAATAAATAAATAAATAAATAAATGTAGGCAATTTTTTTTATTGTTAGTGGGATTGACTTGCCTTCAAGGGTTTGTGCAAAAAGAAAAATGAATGAATGAATGAATGAATGAATGAATGAATGAATGAATGAATGAATGAAATAACAGTGAAATAATGATTCACATAGCAGTGAAAAGGCTGCTATGTGAATCATTAGGAAACAAAAGAGAAATTTAGAAGAATCACTAGCATTCTGTAGTCATCCAGAAAGTTCAAGAAAGATGTATCAGAGATTGCCGAAAATGAACTTACAGCAAAGGACTTGAGTAAGATTATGTTTATAAGAATTGCTAAATTTAAGAGAGTTGTTGAATTATTTACTAAATATGATAATTCAGACCAACATCATATTTTTCCCCAGGTATCCATTTATTCTTTACTAAGTTTGCCAATATTTCAATCTGGACTCACTTCACTAGTAAATATATAAGCCAAAAGTTAAAAGTATGCAATGTTAATGTATGTTTTAATGTTATTATTGTACTCATATTTATTACCCCTAATATATTGTGTTAAAATTACAATAATAACATTATCCATGTATTGGCATTATTATACTGTACTTATTTGTTGCACTAATTAATTTGCTTGGATGGATTGTGTTTGTCTTGAACCATGTGTGACAGTTATGGGTGGCACAGGCTATTGCAATATTCCAAGAGAAAATTTAGTGCTTTCACCAGTGGTTCCCATTTTTTCTCAAGGGCTTGTTCTAAGTCTTTTCTCACCCCTGAAGAGAGGCAAAGAGATGTACAAGTAAAAAGCCCCTCCACACACACACACAAACATACACATTCATATTTGTTACAAAACTTGATTCTCAATCAATGAAACATAATTTAGATGATTTTATTTGTACAACTATGAATTGGAGGAACTAAATCTAATCTGGGAAACTGGATCCAGTACTTCATTTCACTTGATTTCAGGTTTTGAGATGATGTCAAGTTTTGAAGCTTTGGCAACCAAAACCCCACCCCAAAGGACTCTACCATAAGTGAGGTGGACAGTCATCACTCCCTATTACATTCTGTATGGAGTTATTTTTCCCCATGCATTGTCAGCTCACCACTTCCTCTGAAGGGTAGAATGACAGGAATGTACTTTGAGCATCTACTTTGCCTCTCCTGAAGAAGTAAGAGATAGAGCAAATGAATCAGAGTGTACTTGTGAGTCCTCTAGATGAAAGACTGAAAGCTTGATTTTTGCTGCTGAGGAAGATGACGCAGAGAAAGGGATTTATATGAGGCTCTTCTGGGCAGACTGGATTTGAAAGCCAGCAATTCTCTCCCCTTGCTATAAATCAGTGTAGATGTTTATCACACAAACATGACATAATCAAGATGCTTTACCTGAGAAATGCTGTTTCTTCTTCTCAGTACTGGAAAATATAGTATAATTACCCTGCATAACACCTGCAAATTGCTATCACTGAAGCAAGGAGTGAAACTCATACTTTTCCAAAAATGATGAAACGTATCATCAATAGAAGACAATGATCTCTTTAAAAAAAAAAGAATATTAGAAGAAATGTATTGTAGATTGAAATTTAGAAATAACATAATTTGGATTTAAAAATTACTGTGCTGAAGAGTGTGACCAGTAGACCATTCAATGCCTGTTCAATTTACTATTCAAGTCCAGCTGTTCACTCTTTACCTCTTCCTGATATTTCTCATTAAAATAATTGTTTGGACTGGACTATGTCAGATAGATAACTTTTCTTTGATAGCCCTTAAATTAAAGTCATGCTAGGATAAACACACTCTGTAGGCACTCATTTTCTTTCTTGCTGGCAGCAAAATTGTTATACAACATTATACAATATACCAATATAACATAATAAGTAAGACAAAAAAACTTTAATATCAAAACTTTAACCAGTAGATTGAATAAAATTGTAGCCTTGTTGCAGGATGACACTTCATACAGAATGACACTTCACGACTTTGCCTAATAAAATAGCAGACCAGAGAAATACCACCAATAAGTACATGAGAAATGTTCCCCTATTCATTCCCTATGAACTTCAGAAGGAAAGCTCCTTGTTCCACCTGGTTGCTAGGAAACCCGCATCCAGAGTTACTAGGTAGCTGCACATTCATGGCTTTCATGGCTTCAAAATACCTTGAAGATGCTACTGAAAGATAACCCAGAGTTTGTAGCTTTGTAGCATGCTTTCCAACCATGGTTGTCTCTGCATTTATTTTAGTTCTGCAAATACCCTGTTTAAATCTCACCACAGGCTAATGTAAACAAAAAACAGAAGCCTACATTGGAAGAAAGATGAAATGTGTATTGATCTTTACATCTTGATACAAAACAAAGCTGTGTTTTGTGATGTGTGTTCACCTTTTATATTCTACTGTACAGATCTTTGTCTTTTCCACATATCTCATTCTGTGGCTGTCAGTCATCTTCTTTGTGTAGAAAAAGGTAAAAAATATATTGGGCATTCCTTTTTTGTTCCTCCCTGAACTGCAGGAACCAGACACAGGCTATGGAGAAGTTCTGCTTTCTATCAGCTATTTGCCTGCTGCAAATCGCCTGCTTGTGGTACTTATAAAAGCAAAGAGCCTTCATTCCAAACAGCTGAAAGAACTCATTGGAAAAGGTATGGGAAAAATAAAAGCCTGCTATTGAATGCTACCAACTGAAATATTTCTTTTAGGTTTTTTTTTTATGCTAAGGACACTACTTAGTCACATATGTGAGATGGGCAGCTGGGCAGCTGTGTACAGTATATATATTGTATATTGTATTTTGTTAGTTCATATAAGGAGGCCCTGAGCCAGAATGATACTTCTGCTAAGATTCAGTAGCTGGACTATATTTGAGCCTCAGTTTCCATCTGTCACTTTGAAGTAATAATATTTTCCTAACTGGCCAAGTTTCCAAAGATTGTGCAGATGCTGTCCTGAATCATTGCCTGGACATTGCAGTAAAGGATTGGACCTAGAATTTGTGATTCAATCCAGAGTAGATATGATTGTGAACAAACTCATCCAATACTAGCAACACAGCCTGTTTTAAATAAAAATGCACTCCCTCTGTGAAACCAGTTTTTCAATGACAGATGAGGATGAATAAATGAAATGAGGAAGGTGATTGAAAGAGAGGAGGGATAATTTCTTCATGTCACCCATCCAGGCATTTCTTCAGCCAAACAGCTGTTGGTTTCTTTCCATCACACTTGATAAATGGAGAATCATGAATTACAATGTTTAGATATTGGAGTGAAACCAAGGAGACCCAGACTGAAGCCCCTAGTTGACCACAATACTCACAGTGTAATTTTGGGCCTATCTGTCTCTCAACTAAATTTGAGATCCATCTCATCTGGTTGATCTAGGAACATATTTATACAGGCTTAAATTAAAGTTGTTAAGATATACTCAGTATGATTTGTTCACAGATAATTTTTCCTTTTAGTATTTTAAAAGCTACAGTTCAGCAGCTATTTTTGGCTGGACTGTAAGAACTGTGTCCAAGACTTGAGAGGGCTACAGATTCTGCTTGAGAGAAAGCTTGAGAGGAAGATGTGATACATATGCAATGATAAATAAATAAATCATACTTACCCATATTGTTGAACATTTTTTGGTAAACTGGGGAATATGCAATTTAAACTGTAAGGACAGACACAGTACAATTTATTCTCCTTTTTCTAACTACATGTTCTGAATAAAATGAAAAAGCACAATCCTTAGCTGTTCACAGCACCTGTCAGCTTGGCAAGTGAATATGCGTGATAGAATCTCACAGCACAGGTAGAAAGGTTCACAGTCTGGGGAATTCATTTGTGAGCCTGGGTGTATATGTGTACATATGCATGCAAAGGAGAGGGGGGGGAAGAGAGGGAGAAAGGGAGAGAGAGTCTCAATCAGTCAGTCTCAGGGCCATATTTTAAACTATTTTCTGAAGGAGAATTGAACAATCTGATTTACAGTATTAACTTCCCACATCAGGTAGACAGTGGTACTCAAATTCAAAGAAACATGAGACTACCATGGGGAAGGACTGGAGAAGTGATTCCTATTGCTTATGTGTTTTGAAGCTTACATAACTGAAGAGAATAGAATATATATGTGTAAATAACACAAGTGATTATGTTTAAGAATTTGTGTGTGTTTATAGAAACGTGGGCACTGCTGGCTAAGGATCAATCCACTCTTATTGTTGGCCCATGAGATAATCATCCTAGACCCCTTATCAATTGCCACATTCAGCCTTCAGGGCAAATATGGCTGCCTATTCCTTTTTCAGCTAAATATTAAAAATGATTAATGCCTCTAAAAGTATCCAACAGATTAGTGCACTTAATCACTGTTGGTCTGTACAGATGTGGGTAACATGATTAATATGAGCCACAAAATTGAATGGATCAGATTCTAAATGGCAGAGTTTTTAGAAATAAAAACTGTAGTATATGATAAAAGATTATGTTTAGATGTGTGGATATGTGTGGATTGCATGTATGTCCTTAATGTATTTTTTTTCATGGTGTTATGTAATTAATTCAAAACTTACATAGAACTTATGTGTAAACTCTCTGATGGGGTCCATTCAAGAATTCTTAAAGGTGTCAGATGTAGAATGGGTAGAATCAATAACTGAAAAAGAGCAAGCTTTGAGGAAGGAAAATCAACTAGCATTCAACAAAGATAAATCCTGCTTTACCAACATTCTGGATTTTGAGAGTATCAGCCGATATGATCCTATTGATACTATTTATCTAAATTTTCAACAAGCATTTGACTAAATTCTATATCAGAAGCTCTAGAGTAAATTTAGTAGATGTGGGATAAGGGGGTTGATCCTTTTATGGATTGCTAAGTGGTTAAAAAACAAAAAGCAAACATGCATTTTCTTTTTTTCTTTCTTTTTTCTGCCTCAGCTTCAATTTTGGAGAATTTAGGTTGGCCTGGTTTTTTTGGGTGGATTTGTAAATATGATAAATAATAAACAAATAACAATAAAAAGACATTTCATATAAATAGTGTCTCAAAAAGAAAGTACTTAAGACTATAAAATGGCACTGTCAAATTTTAACAGGAAACTATGGTATCAATTTTCACAATATGCAGCTGAACACCTGTGACTGTGTGGGAGCTATCTGTGATCTGTGAGTTCACCACCTGTGGAGATTAGACATGGGAAGAAACTTAATTCAGGTCTCTCATTAGCTTCTTAGTCCTCTTCCCATGTCTCGTACATAGTTTGGTCCTTGGTGATGGTTGACATTTTCAAGAAATTCTCAAGGTATTTGTAGTCAGGAGGAAGATAAAAATGCTGACATCTGAAGACTGCTTTCTTATGACCACATTTTATCCCTGTCCCTGCAGATATATCTGTCAAAGTGACACTGAAGCACCAGGCCTTGAAACTGAAAAAGAAGCAGACAAAGCATGCAAAACACAAGATCAACCCAGTATGGAATGAGATGATCATGTTTGAGGTACCCCATGATCTGCTCTGTGCTTCAAGTGTAGAGCTGGAGATGCTAAGCCAGGATGCTGATGGGCAGAACCGCTTACTGGGCAAGTGTAGCCTTGGTCTGCATGCTGTGGGAACCGAGAGGAACCACTGGGAGGAAATGCTGAGGAACCCCAGAAGGCAGATTGCTATGTGGCACCAACTTCACATGTAGATAACAAGGTGGAAATGGTGATCCTGTCATGTTCAATAACCTGGTCTCAGACCTAGAAAAAAAAAAGAGTTCTGTTTAACATCCCAAACACGCATACATCATGAATTGAATCCATTCACGTGATTAAGCACAAGTCTTGTTTATTAATACTGTTCTTAACTGTGTTTTACTAAATGAATATTGTTGAAATGGGCTAGTCAAAATGGCAAATAGTTCATTGAGCCATGATAATGATCGGCGTGTTGGATCATTTCTTCAGCTTCTATTTCTAGCCATGCACAAAGGATTAATTTTATTTTTTGCTACTTAATATCTGACTAATATTATCAGATATAATGAGTAATTTCATTCAAGATTTTAAAAACACAAGCCCCAATTGTGTTGGGCCCAGTATTGTCCACTCAATTGTGGCTATCTTGGAAAGCTATGAAAAACTATGATATTATTTACCTAGCAATTTGTACCCTGTACAATCAGCAGATGGCTACCTCTATTCTTAAATGTTTTTGTTAATGTATACAGGGATATGTACCATGTCATCTATGTATGTGGCAAAGAGAAAGAGGACATTTTTCTCTCTGAATCTATTTACAGTCTATAGGCAGAGACAAGATAAACAGCAGACCACCCACCCACCCCCCAAAAATCCCAAGAATGGGGCTAAACAAAATAATATAAATCACAGATAATTAAAATGCAAATTACTTATAAATAAGGTCCAATTAGGTATGATATTAAACTGCATTAATTTGAACATTTCTGGTATGCCAATACAAGCATGGGTGACAATGTTTCAGGCTTTCCTTGGTTGCTGTTGACATAGCTAGAGTAGCCTTAAAAATAAGTGGAATGGTGGGTAGAATTGAATTATTCCTCTTCCTGAAGAATTCTAACAAAAAAAAAAAATACTTCAAAAGCTGAATTTGCATTTCAATAGAATCTCTCATCAGGGCATTCTGTCTGCCCGAGGCAAGTAGCAAATGGTGTCCCCCTGTCCTAATTAGTGTGTAGTATCCTTCACAATAATAAATCCATTATTTTGCCACCTTCAACAGAAAATCGCCTCCCCACTTCTTTCCCAATGTTCAAAATGCAGTTGGATGGATCCAGATTTAAGTCATGCTTTTGAGTAATTTAATGAATTTGAACCACACTAAATTTATTGGGTCTTTAATAATAAACTAATAGTTTGCTGCATTTTTACAATGCTAAATTCAAGTTGTCTAAGGATGTTGCGCTTAATGATATGTTTACAAATGGAAGCCAAGGTCAGAACTATCACTAAGCTAAATTAATTTTGAATGTATCACAGAAAGTGTTTAAGTGTTTCATAGGAAAAAGGACTTTTGGAAGGGATTTGAAGAGAGATGGACTCATAGAAGTGTTTCAAAGTGCAGGTTCCAGTAAGAAAGAATAGCTTTAGTAAACAATGGACCTATTAATAGCTGAGAGTGATAAATCTGGATAAGCAAAGGCTACAGGTAAGATGTGGTAGAATTTGAAAATCAATATGGAAGAACCCAAAAATTTATCTGGATGATATTAAAAATCTGAATAAGCATGTGCAGAAGTGATAGGAGCATTCTTTTATTTTTTATCTATGATGCTAAAACTTTCATCCAGTTAAAGTTGGTATTAATTGTTCAGGTTTTTCTTGAACCTTCCAAGAATGGAGATTTGTTAAAGGAAAATTATAATGTGACAGTCACTAATTAAGAATTTGTTCATGCTTATTAACATATAAGTATTGGACTATCTGAAAAAAAAACATTTAGAAAATAAGTAATTTTTGCTTATTTGGTGACATTTTGAATGTTCCCAAATACACTAGATCAGACAAAAATCTCTGCAATACACATTGTTTTCATAGCAGGATAATTATAATGAAGGGAAGATTTGACCTCCCAAATATGTCTAATTTTAAAATACAAATACAGATACACTTTTTATGCTATTACTCATCATCATGCTTTTACTATTTTGTTGCCTTTTCTCCTTTCACATGCATGGAATTTAAACATTAGTGAAGGTCATCATTCAGAATTAAAGCCTACATCTACATCTTCATTAATATCATTCATTACAGGCAGTGCGGAAAGCAAGGGTGGAATATGGCCTCAAATTGTTATATGTAAGCTGTCCAGGGTTGGAAAGGAGACAAGGAGTGGCTAGTCATGTGTAAGACTCTTGTGTTTTTTGTTATCCAATCATTAATTTGCATCCGACTCTTCCTGACCTGATGGATATTATTTCACCATGATAATCTGTCATCAATTGCTCCTTTGAGTTCTTATAAATTGTGCTTGCATCATCAGTGATAATATCTAGCCTCCTTGTCTTCTGTTGACTCTTTTTGATTGATTAATTATTTTTAAATACTGGGGTCTTTTTAAATGGTTTTTAACCTTCATATTATGTGTTTGAAAAATTTAAACTTTAACTTCATTGTTAGTGCTTTCATTGAGCAGTCTGCTTTTCACTTCATCAACCACTGAATAATTTATTTTTCTTGGGGTCAAAATGTTCTCAAGAATTTTGTTCACCACCATAATTCAATGGCAGTACTTACAGTCAAGTGTTCTGACCTTTAAAGTTCTGTAATGTAATTCTCTTCAATTTCAATTGATGCAATAAAAGCTTTGGACCCAACTATATATCTACTTTAAATTAAGGCCATTTATGGTTAAAAAGAGAAAAAGAAATGAGTAATATTCAGATTTTTATAAATAACTGATCTGGATGTGAATGTTTTAAGGGGTTTAGAGAAATCTGTGGTTTGTAGGCTAGCATCAGAATCAAGTAATCCCAAACAATATTTTTTTCAATGTTACACAATCAGTTCAAGCAAAGGAGTGGGAAAAATAATTAAATGGAATAAGCATGTGAGAGGTAGAAGTAGTGATTAGCACTCAGGGCAACCCAAATTGCCTTATCCATTTCAGCTTCTTGTTAGTCTCCAAGTTTAGTTTTTTTTCCATGCTGGGAAGCCCAAATTTGAAATGGAGGGCAAGTTGAACCACTGAAATCTAAGATTTTATTCCCTTGCCACTTCTTAAAATATCAGTGTAAATTAGGCTAATTGCTAAATTATCTTAAAGGGATTCAACATGGAATCTCTTATTGTACTGCTTAGCTGTGAAATATTCCCATGTTAGATAAATTCAACTGCAAATTAAACTGGGAAAGTTGACATTTTAGACCAAATCAATTCTAGGACCAAAATCCTAGGAAATTTCTGAAAGCTAGATATTTTGACAAATCAGCCATTTATAGAGACATAGATATAAGCCTTGTCTATATTCCAATTAAAAAATACAATCAAAAGTCAAGGTGAAAAGCAAGCTGCCTTGAGCACACCCTCACTTGTAACTATTGTCCAGATAATCAGTAACAACACCAAATAAACCATCAGTAACAATAACACTAACAGTATAACAAAGCTGAAAGGGATGTTGGAAGTCTTCGTCCAACCCCCTTCTCAAGCAGGAGACCTTATACCTGTGATGGCGAACATATGGCACGCGTGCCATAGGTGGCACGCAGAGCCATATTGGTGGGCACGCAAGCTCAGCTCCGGTGCACATGCACATGCTGGCCAGCTGATTTTCGGGCCTTCTGGGCCCACTGGAATTCGGCAAACAGGCCATTTCTGGCCTTTGGAGGGTCTCCGGGGGGGAAGGCCATTTTCACTCTCCCCAGGCTCCTAGAAAGTCTCTGTTGCCTGGGGAGGGCAAAAAATGAGCCTACCGGGCCCACCAGGCCCACCAGGCCATCACATGCCAAAAACAGGGGAAGCACGGGGGGGGGGGTCGCACACACATGCGCAGGGGCGGGGCACATAGAATTATGAGTGTGGGCACACGAGTGCACAACCCCCCCATGCTCCCCCCACTTTTGGCACACAATGGCAAAAAGGTTAGCCATCACTGCCCTATACCATTCTGGACAGATGGCTGTCTAAACGCTTCATAAAAACTCCCAGAGATAGACTTTTTTGTTTTTTTCTTTGAAGATGTTTTGCTTCTCATCCAAGAAGCTTCTTCCAATGATGGTGCATCCACAACTTCTGAAGGCAAGCCATTCCACTGGTTAATTGTTCTCACTGTCAGGAAATTTCTCCTTAGTTCTGGGTTAGATCACTATTTGCTCTATTTGTTTCCAAACATTCTATATATTTATTTATTTATTTTGTCAAGCATGTATTAGATAACAGATATAAGTATAAACATAATTATGAATACATGAAATGGATATGAATAGAAGAAAACATTAGGACAGGGATGGTAGGCATGCTGGTGTGCTTTTGCACGCCCCTTAAAGACCTCTTAGAAATGGGATGAGGTCAACAGTAGACAATCTAAGGGTAAAGTTTTGGGGGTTTGGGGAAGAAACCACAGAGTCAGGTAGTGCATTCCAGGCATTAATAACTCTGTTACTGAAGTTGTATTTTCTGCAATCAAGTTTGGCACAGTTTACCATAAGTTTGTATCTGTTATATGATCGTGTATTGTTGCGGTTGAAGCTGAAGTATTCATTGACAGGTAGGACATTGTGGCAGATAATTTTATGTACTATGCTTAGGTCGGACCAAAGATGGTGAAGTTCTAAGTTGTTTAAGCCCAAAATTTCAAGTCTGGTGGCATAAGGTATTCTGTTGCGAGCAGAGGAGTGAAGAACACTTTTGTGAAATATCTCTGGACTCGTTCAATTGTATTAATGTGCAATATGCAGCACGGGTTCCAGACAGATGAGCTGTATTCAAGAATTGGTCTAGCAAAAATTTTGTATGCCCTAGTTTGCAGTTCAGTATTACCGGAGAAGAAGCTATGCAAGATTAGGTTAATAACTTTTAATGCCTTTTTGGCAATGCTCTTACAGTGAGCTCTGACACTTAGATCATTTGAGATGAGTATTCCAAGGTCCTTGACAGAGTGAGAGTTGTCTACGAGGTTGTATCCACCCAGCTTGTATTTTGTGTTTTGATTTTTTTTTGCCAATGTGTAAGACAGAACATTTGTTGGTTGAGATTTGGAGTTGCCAATTGTTTGACCATTGTGACAGATAGTCGAGGTCTTTTTGTAGAGTAGCAGCATTGTCGGTGGTGTTGAATAGTTTTACATCATCAGCGAAGAGAATGCAGTTGCTTATAATATGATCACAAAGGTTGTTTATGTAAAGTATAAAGAGTGTGGGCCCTAAAATGCTTCCTTGGGGGACACTGCTGTTAACAGATGCAGGGTTTGATAGGGTGTTCCCTATTTTGACTACTTGTTGCCTGTTTGATAGGAACGCAGCTATCCACTTATGCAGGGATCCGGAAATGCCATAAGATTTTAGTTTTAGAAGTAGTTTGTCATGTACTACTGAATCAAAGGCTTTACAGAAGTCTATATAAATTGTGTCTATTGCTTTAGCCTGGGTCAAGTTGTGAAGTCCAAATGTTTTTGCAATGTAAAAGTTGCAGATTGCAGTACAATTTTTTTTCTGAAGCCCAACTGTTTGTTAGAGGTTGTTTGTCTCTAAGTAGAGGTAATGGATTAGTTTATGATTGATTCCATGACTTTGCATGTGACGTCACATAATGAGATTGGTCTGTAATTTTCAATTAGGCAGGGGTCACCCTTTTTGAAGATAGGGATGACTGTGGCTAGTTACCATAAGTCAGGCAAGGAGCTGGTTCTTGTCATGTCCTCAGGTTCTTTGGAGAATATGTTGACACTCTCCTCTCTGTGACAGCCCCTCAAATATTGGAGAACTGCTATCAACTCATCCCTAATCCTTCTCTTCTTTGACTAGATATACCCAGTTCCTGCAACTATTCATCAGATGTTTTATCCTCCAATTCCCTAATCATCTTTGAGCGGTTCTCTGCACTCTTTCTAGAGTTTCAATATCTTTTTTTGTATCCTGGTGACCAACACTGAATGCAGTATTTCAAGAGTGGTCTTATCAATGCAGTTGATAAGTAGTTCTAACAGTTCATGTGAGCTTGATACTATCCCTCTGTTGATGCAATCTAGAACTGCATCGGCTTTTTTGGCAGCTATAGCACACTGCTAGCTCATACTTCAGTGGTTGTTCACTAAAACTCCTAGATCCCTCACAGCTACTGCTGTTGAGCCAGGTACCATTATTCTATACCTGTGCATCTGTTTTTTTTCTGCCTCACTCTTCTCACCACTGAATTGCCCAGTGTTCTGGATCTTGAGCCTATCTTTTAAAGTGTTGGTTATTCCCCCCCCCCAACTTGATGTTGTCTCCAAATTCGATGAGTTCCCTTTCTATTACCATATCTAAATTGTTTATGAAAATGTTGAAGAGTACTGAGCCTAAGAAAGAACCTTGGAATACCCGACTGCATGCTTCCCTCCATGATCCCTCCACTGAGGATTACATGTCTAATGTGTTTGATCAGCCAGTTACAAATCCATCTAGTGGGTGTTGTCTATCCCACATTTTTCTATTTTACTAAAAAGTAAGCTGTGGTCTATATTGTCAAACACCTTACTGAACTCCAAGTATAAAATATCCACAGCATTCAGGAAATGCTGAATCAGGGAACAAACAATACCCTAATCAGGGAAGAAACCAAGATTAGCAGGGCAAGCTGCTATATATAAATAATTGGCAAATCCTTTGTTGATATTACCTAGCCTGGCAATGAAATGTTTTCAGGAAAACATACAGGCTCAGAGAATACCAAGAACCCAATGAATGAATAATAGGGTAATAGAGCTCAAAAAAATAATCACCGTTCCAAAACCCCAACACAGAATGCCACATAATTGCAAGACAGCCTACAAGATAATGATACTAATGAGAATTAAAGCCATGCAGGAATAATTAGAGAATCTTAACTTATATTAATTATTAAATACACAGAAGCTAGTATATGATATTTATGGGAGGCAGTGAGGTTGAATATCTAAAATTTGCCAGATGAATGAGTCATTTTAATCCCTGATTTTAAATTGCACCAAAAGGACACTCAGGAATTTGTTGTTGTTGTTGTTATTGTTAAATTAAATCTCCATGGCCAACCATGTCATCTGAACTGCTGCTTAGAATTTTCAATGACCTCCTTCTTCCCAAGATTTAAATAATGTACTAGGGAGACCCTATGGAAATGGGGATGCTACGGAAATATTGCATCTGTCATTGTTCTGTTCTCCCCCAATCCCCCAGAACATAGGGCAGATACAGACTAGGTGGTTAAGGGTCTCTTAAATCTGCAGTCCTTTGTTGTGTGCTATAGATTTTTTTCAGTGCTTTTGGAAATAAAGGAGGAGTAGGGGAATAGTACAGGAAATGATGGCCTCCCAGACTTCTTCATACCAGCTGGTACAGTGTCTTCTTCTTTGGGAGAATTGTAAAGGTAAGCGATAAACAGCAATCCAACCAGCTGGGTTGTACATAGATGTGCACAAAGTGCATCAAATGACTCTGAAGGGATAGCTGAATAATTCATTTCCTATGAACAGGACTAGAATCTAGGACTTGATGAGTTCATATTAGTTATAACAGAGAAATATTCCTGAATGTTTCTTGCATTGGTTGAAAATACACATACAATTAAGAGCCATGGTAGCACAGTGGTGAGAATGCAGTATTGCAGGCTAACTCACTGCTCATCCAACAGTTTGATCCTAACCGGCTCAAGGTTGACTCAGCCTTCCATCTTTCCAAGGTCAATAAAATGAGGACCCAATATGTTGGAGGCAATAAACTACCTAGAAAGGGCTGTATGAAGCAGTATATAAGTAAGTGCTATTGCTATTGCTATAATTTTGCTATACTTCTTTTAATTTTTTTTCAGGGCCTATACATATATATTTATGGTGTGTGCATGTGCATATTTATAATATTAATTATAACTAACATAATATCATTAATAGTAAGTTACTGATGTCATTTATACCACCATTAAGTGCCAATGAGAGAATTTGCAAAGTATGTACATACATATGCATGCACCAGCAAAATCCACTGTAAACAAATTACTTGCTCTACAGAGGCAGTGAGTTACTCTTGGCAGCTCACAAGCAATTGAATTGGGTTGCTTAGGCTCTTGCATTTGAACCTGGCAAGATGATCTCAGATTAGTCTGTGCCAAGGGAGTCCAAAGAAGCTGATTCCTGGCATGGAATTCCTGTGGCATGGACCAGTTAGGAATTAGCTTGCCAGGATGACATACTGTGCAGTACATACAGAGTAGTCAGTCCTTGTTTAGTTGCTTGCGAGGTACACAACAAAGCAGCACACGCTGCCTCTGCAGATGCCAGCCACAGCTGCTGGAGCAGGGCCGGATTTTCCTATAGGCTAACTAGGCTTCAGCCTAGGGCCTCAAGATCAAGAGGGGCCTACATTCAAATTGTTAGCAAAATTAAAATTACACTTTCACTATAGGTGAAAGGGCCTCATAAGTGGAATAGCCTAGGGCCTCTTTTCATCTAAATCCGGCCCTGTGCTGGAGGAACATAAAAAAAACGTAATCTATGACCAACCCTCCCAAAAGGGTTCATCACTGCTCATCACTGCTTCATAGAGACCAGCCATGAAAGCTTACACCCATATTCTGTATTATTTGCTTCTATAGTTAATCATCACTTGCCTTTGTGGATGGAAGAAACACCTCGTGCCTTTTTTCTTCTGCATGTTTATATTTTTTAAAAAACTAACACAAGATAATTGCAGTCACCAATTCCAATAGAATTATGCTTTAATTTGCATTCCTGTAGAACTATGGATTTTAAAAAAATTGCTCATTTATTACAGAATTCTAAGAAATGGGAGCGGGTGGGAATTAATTTGAAGACACAAACATTGTTACAGCAGCTTTCACTGGAGCTTTGATCCTTTCAATAAGGAAAAGAAAACAAGAAAAAATTTAGATAACTCATATAATTTGGAAAGACGTATTAAGGCTTAGTGTTCCTATTTATATATTCTTGCCTGACTGAGCTGCTCCTCTGGAAGCTTGATGCTGCATACAGTAAATTCTTCACTCAATAATGCTGTATAATGATTCTGTGCCATCTCTTTGTTGTCTTAGCTAGGAGCATTAAAACAAGACTTTAATTGGCCTCATTAATCTGATTTCAAGAAGAAATGTATAAAACATTCCCTAAAAAAATGAATATGGAATTGAATCCAAATAGGTTGACTAGTTGTTTGCCTTTTAATTTCTTTAAAAAGCAGGTCAGTTATGTAACTCAGTATGCTGTAAAAGATTCTGAGTTGAAGAAATAAGATAAAGTCTAGAAGTCCTTACCAAAAAAGAAAAGGCTGTATCTGGAATTGATAGGGATAGAGGATAGGGAAATAAGAAAGGAAATGAAATAATCTAAATTCTATTCATCTGCTTCATTCAGGTAGGAAATTTCATTGAAAAATTGTCCGACAGACAATCATTAAGGGATGTTTAGGGAAACATTCTAGACCCTATACTACATAATACTAAAACTTTTGTGTCTATTTGATACTTTGTAATCTTCAGTTGGGTGAAATGCTGAATCACAGAGCCAAACTTTGTCAACAAAGGTGTCTCATTTGGATTAATTTACAGAATGCCAGTACCATTATACCTAAAAGAATGACATTTGGGGATTTTATTTTATTTTTTGCCATTTTCAGTGCTGTTGGGCTGCTGTAGTTTAGTGCCACCACCACATTGCCATAGTCAGCTGTGGCCACATGATTCTCATTTTCAACATTCCCTGACAGATTCCACAAGTCAATGGGGAACCCAGAAGGAACTGATATGCTTACCGATACTCCTGGCCACCTTCTAACTAGCAAAGTCTATACTTGTGGGAAGCTTGCAGGGAGAAAGTCAATAGAAAAATGGTGCAATGTTCACCAATCCTTCTGCACTTGCACTACACTGGCCATTTGTATGCTGCCTTGCCACTAACCTGTCTGTGGAAAGGAAAGGAAAGGGAACAGGGAGGGAGGGAGGGATGCAAGAGAAGGAAGGAAAAAAGGAGGGACGGAGAGAGGAAAGGAAGGGAGAGAGGGATGGAGGAAAGAAATAAGAGGAAAGAAGGAAGGAAGGAAGGAAGGAAGGAAAGAAGGAAAGAAGGAAAGAAGGAAAGAAGGGAGGGGGCAATAGGGAGGAGAGGGAAAAGGAAAAGCAGATTTCTGATGTTCACTGCCAGCTTCCATGAGGAAAGTCAATGGGGAAACCAACAAGAAGTTGTTCTGATTACAGTACTTGTCTATCCTTGGTCAACTGTTTGCCTGCTTAGGTAAAGAAATATTTCTGAAACAATAACTCAATGAATCATGGGTTATCTAGTCATAATTAAAGTTCTCAATTTCCTTAATATGTATTGCATAGCCTTTTGCAGTTTTCATAACTGCACTGTTGGGGCAACTAAGTAAAACTGTGTCAAATTCATATAATAGCAAACGGCCAAGGACTATTGCTATGACTGATATAAAACTTGCATTTTTTAAGATAATGATAGCAATTTAGCATCACTACTTGTGATGTTATTTTCCATCATGAGTTCTACAATATTCTTAAAAGAAATTCAATGACATTTTCAAAAGTGGAATATTATCATTAGGGAATGAAAAGGCTAATCGTAGGGAACATCTGAAACGGTCACCAAAACATGGGTATATAGTATTTCCATCCCCCTTCCTTCCAAGTCCTTTAAATGACCTTAGCACCTTGGATGCTAGCTATGAGCTCTTTGATAAAATTTATTATTCATTCCTTTCATGGCAAATAGTTTTACAGTTTACTGCTGAGAGATCCTGAGTTTATGCTCCTTATTTAATACCTCGTGGTATCCTGTTCCAGCTAAGAACTTCCTTCCTTCCCTTGTAAACTGCTTGCTCTGATTATTGACAGTGATTAGATTTACAGCCAACATTATGGTATGGCTTCTATAAGACCAATTGAAGTCATCTGTACTAGTGAAGTCTCTTGTGTTTGTGGTTTGCAATATATAAGGTACTTATTCTCTTCCTGTGTTGTATAATACAGTAAGTTTATTTCCATCAATGACAACAAGGGCATGATGCAGAATATGCTGCTGTAGCAACAAGGAAGAAATAGACAACAGTTGGAATCTATAGAAGAGAGAAAAGTCCAGTTTGATCATATTTATCAGTCCAGGTTACTTTTATTAAGGCCGCCAGGTGACATTGCTACATATACATTTTTGACTGGGAGATGTCTGAAGATATCTGATTTCAGAATTTAAAAAAAAACTGCTTTTAAAACTGCTTTAAAAAAAACTATTAAAGAAGCATGAAGAATTGATTATTTTAAAAGGTACATAACCCTTGATACATATCTCAAGGCCACAAGCTAAGAAAATAACAGAGAAACATGTAGTAGAGTGGCTCAGAAGCAATATTTCACTTTGACATAATATTTTAAAATGGTATTGTTATTGTACAAAATGAAGTATCTGTTGTTGTTATTGTGACTACTGTTTAAAGCACAAAATAAAATATAAGACTTGGCATCTACTATCATGGCACATAAGAAAATAAAGCTACTATTAATCATAAAATACAGATTGAATTGTATTGCTTATTATATCACATTTGTTTTAAATTGGAAAAACTACATTTTAATAAGGCAGTTGATCATTTCATTTTATGGCTAAAGTTCATAAAACATAATTCACTGAAATGTCTCAGATAAATGACACTAGAGCAACTTTCAATCATTGGATTTCAACTTCATTTCTACCACTGAGGGTATATCTGTGCTTACCATTTAGTTGTTCTGTTCTTGCTCATGTCAGCTTGATTTTTAAGTGTCCAGATTGGAAAAACTCTGGCAATATCTTTCATATTAAGTACGGAGTGCAGGTTATCATATTGCCCCATTATACAATTTTCACATTGCTATACTCTCCATGTTTTTCTTTCAATAAAATGGTTGCCAATAACATATCTCAGTATTTACTTCTTAAACATTGTATAATGTATATGTACATGTAATACGCACATTGTATGTACTCAAAATTGAGTTACATTTACAAATGAATTTATACTATACATAAACACATAAATTACATTTATTGATGTGAACGTTGATGCTCTCTGCTTGGCTGTTCGCTGGAAGGTGTTTCATTACCAAACTAGGTAACATCATCAGTACATTTATTTCTGCAGGGTTAAAACATCAAGATGCTTTAACAAGGCATAACAAGCATCATTTCCCATCCCCTTCTTTTCAACATTCATTGCAATAAAGCTCATTTTACTAGTTAAGCTAAAATAGCATATTGTTTTAATATCTTAGGTTAGCATTGAGCAGGTTGTTGGTTAAAAATACTTTTTAAAATTTTCTTTCTGACTAGCATTATTCCTCAGCCTTTTTTTTTTTTTAAAAAAGGTACATTCAAGGGTTTTACTCTTTTTCCAGTCCCTTGAGGTAACAAGGTTTCACCTCCAGCTCTAAAATAGACCAAATCAGTGGTGGATTGTCCCCGGTTTGCACTGGTTCTATAGAACCAGTAGTAAAACCAGCGGGAGGCTCCACCCACTGACCCTGATGACATCAAAACGCTTCTGCGCATGCGCAAAAGAGTTGTGCATGCGCACGCGGCCCCATTGTGAACCGGTAAGTAGAACCCACCCCTGGACCAAATAAGTTATCAGGGAACAGGTAACAAAATACTTTTACCTCGGGTGATAAGAAAAATGGTAAACCATATAAAGGTTAGTTTTGTTACACATAGAACCCAGTGTTTAAAAGCAGCAGTCTGAGCTGAGATGCCTAATAATCAGCAACCTGGTTCATAAAGTGTGATAAGGAAGGGGTGCTATTGCTGAAGTAGAGATTGGTACCAAATCTCCAATATTTCACATCTTCTGCCATACTGTTCTTTGCTTTTTATCTTAGCATTATCCTACTCTCCATCTGTTCTTGCAGTCAGCCAGGCCTCTGCCAGACGGTCACACATTTCAGTTTCATGACACCTGGTAACTTACATTCACAGATATAAAATGCCTTGCCTCACTCTTTCTCAGGAACAGAGCAGCCCTTTCTTGTCAATCTGTCAACCCTGATCATCTCTGTTCACCCCTTCCCTCCCTTTACTTTCCCACCTGATTTTTACCAAGCCTGTAAACAGGGTTTCTTCCAGTGGTGGGTTGCTCCCAGTTTGCACCAGTTCACAAGAACTGCTAGTAAAAAAATTTAGTAGTTCAGAGAACCGGTAATAACATTGGCTGGCCACACCCCTGAACCGGTTCCCAGCCCGGTCGCTGCTTGCTTAACCCACCCACCATCATTGCCCGCATGCAGCCCCGGGACTCCGCCCTTTCCCAGCCAGGAGTGCTGCCACCAGTTGCTCCTGCTGCCAGTGCACCCAGCTGCCTGCCTGCCTCGTCACTGCCACAAGGAAAGGCCCTGAAGTTGCGCTGCGTGGGATCCACATGGGCTGCCGCAGGGAGAAGCCAGGTATGACTGGCTGGACGCTGCCCCAAGCTGAGCTCGAGGCTGGCAGGAGGAGGAATGTTACCTCTTAGCCGGCTCAAACTGTCTGCTGCTGCAGCCTGCCGCCATCCCCTCATCCCTGCCAGCTGCACCTGCCACTGCCAGGGAAGTGACTGTGCAAGAACCGCTGCCGCCAAGGGCAAGGGGGCAGTGGTGGCAAGGATGGCAGGTCTGCGGCTGCCTTGTCTCCCCACCCGAGCAGACTTCTGGCATAGCCCCAGGCCTCCGAAGAGAGGGAAGCCCTGGCCTGCTGCTCCTGCCGCCGCCACTTCCTTGCCCCCAGCAGGAGAGGTTCTCGTGCTACCGCTTCTCCAGCAGCACCAGAAGCAACTGTTGGGGCAGGCTGTGGTGGCAGGCCGTTCTTGCTGGGTAACAGACAGGCTGCTCCTGGAGCAGTCAGGAGAAGGAGAAGCCATTAGCAGGGAGGCGAGCTGCCCCAGGAGGACTGAAGGAGAGCTCAGCTCCTCACTCATGGAGATCCACCAGTGGGGAAGTGGTCACGGAAAGCGGTAAGAAATGCGTGAGCCAGGAAGCGGTCATGCTCCATGGCAGGAGAGGGTTGCACGTTCACTCCAGCAAAGGTTTGTACAACCCTCTCTGGCTAGGGAGCATGACCACTTCCTGACCAGCGCACTTCTTACAGCGCCCACTTCCCCACCAGTAGATTTCCATGAGTGAGAAGCTGCGCTCTCCTCCGGTCCTCCTGGGGTGGCTCGCCTCCCTGCTGGCAGCTTCTCCTTCTGGCTGCTCCAGGAGCAGCCTGAGACTCTGCTTTCCTTGGCAAAGCACTTCATTATTGCAGGGCAGGGACACAGGTGGCGCCGGGGGATCCGTGCAGCTACTACAGCATGGAAACGGCATTGGTCGCCTTAGTGAATGATCTCTGGCGGGCCCGGGATGGGGGTTGCTCCTTCATCCTGGTCCTTCTTGACCTCTCAGCAGCTTTTGATACCATCGACCAAGGTATCCTACTGCAGCGACTTGGGGGCTTGGGGGTAGGAGGCACCGTTTTACGGTGGTTCTTCTCCTAACTCTCGGGCCACTCAGCAGCTTTTGATACCATCGACCATGGTATCCTACTGCAGCGACTTGGGGGCTTGGGGGTAGGAGGCACCATTTTACGGTGGTTCTTCTCCTACCTCTCGGGCCACTCGCAGTTTGTATGGATGGGGGGTGCCTCAGGGGTTGGTTCTCTCCCCCCTGCTCTTTAATATCTATATGAAGCCGCTGGGGAGATCATTCGTGGTTTTGGGGTGAAGTACCATCAATATGCTGATGATACTCAGCTTTATATCTCCATCCTGGACCACCCTGGGGATGTCCTTTCCGTGATGTCCTGCTGCCTGGAAGCGGTGCGGGGCTAGATGGAAAGAAGCAGACTCAGATTCAACCCATCCAAGACTGAGTGGCTGTGGATGCCTGCATCTCATGATCTAGTAGTCCCGTCACTTGTGAAAGGAGGGGAGGTACTCACTCCCTCAGAAAGGGTTGGCAATCTGGGTGACCTCCTGGATTCACGGCTACCTTTAGAAGATCATCTGATGGCCATGACCAGGGGGGCCTTCACACAAGTACACCTGGTGTGCCAGTTGTGCCCTTTCCTAGACCGGGATGCCTTCGCCATGGTCACTCATGCCCTTGTTACTTCTTGGTTGGACTACTGTAACGCTCTCTACATGGGGCTGCCCTTGGGATGCACCTGGAGGCTACAGCTAGTCCAGAAGGTGGCTGCGCGGGTTGTTACAGGTGCTTCTTGTTACTCCCATGTGACACCTCTCCTGCGCGAGCTGCACTGGCTGCCGGTGGTCCTTTGGGTCCATTTCAAGGTTCTGGTGCTCACCTATAAAGCCCTACATGGCTTAGGTCCAGAGTACTTGCAGGATCATCTCCTGCCATCCTCCCATCATCCTGTGCGCTCCCACAGAGTGGGCCTCCTCAGGGTGCCGTCAGCTAGACAATGTCGGCTGGCGGCCCCCAGGGGGAGAGCGTTCTCTGTGGGAGTGCCGACCCTCTGGAACAGTTTGCCCACTGGGCTTAGGACAGCCCCCGACCTCCTCTCCTTCCACCGTGAACTGAAGACGTGGCTCTTTTATCAAATTACATTGATAATAATTTACATTGAAATAATTTTAATAAATTTTAATTGGATTTTCATTTTTATGTACTTTTCAAATTGTTGAATGTTTTCTTTGTAAGCCATCCTGAATCCTTCGGGAGAAGGGCAACATATAAATTACATACATACATACATACATACATACATACATACATACATACATACATAAATATTTAGCGGGCTGTGGGAGCAGCCTGTCTCTTAGCTGGTGAGAACGGCCACAGCCTGCCCCTGCCCTCTCTCTCCATAGTTCCTTGTGGCAGAGGCAGCGTTGTTTACCCACTGAAAGTGCAGCACTGGCTGCTGTTTCTGCCTCTTCTCCAACCACTCGGAGCCCTGCGTAATAGCACTGTGGCTTGCTCGAGGTAGCTGCCGTTTAGACTTCTCCTGCCCCCCTCTTCCTCCGTCATCTTCTCCTCCTTGAGTTGGAGCCTCGCGGTGTGACTGAGGCTGAGGAGGGGTGGGATAGTAGCTGCACGGATCCCCTGGCACTGCCCGTGTCCCCTGCCCTGCAATAATGAAGCACTTTGCCAAGGAAAGCAGAGTCCCTCAGCCAGGCAGGAGGCAAGATCTGGCATCGCAGGCATGGGAGACTGTGACAGCCGGGCAAGCCCATTCTCTCTTGGCTGCTTGGAGAAAAGAGCGAGAAAGCAGAGGAAGTTGGGAAGCCATGAAACGGGATTGAGGAAAGGGAGGGAACAGATAATTCAAGCAGTATATTGGTCTTTCCATACACGGAAGGAGCAGCAGATTGGGCTTCAATCCCTTCCCCCAGAGGTCTGGGCCATGCCAAAAGCCCGCTCAGGCAGGGAGACAGGGAAGCCTTTGACTGCCTATCCTTGCCGCCACCCCCCCTTTGCCCCCAGCAACAACAGTTCTCGTGCTGCCACTTCTCCAGCAGAACCCTCAGACCAGCTGGCAGGGCAGAGAGGGTGGGGGCAGGATGTGGCCATTCTCGCCAGCTAAGAGACAGGCTGCTCCCACAAGTTAAAAAAAAAAAAGGAAAAAAAAAAGTTGGCCACGCCCACCCAGTCAATTACCCCACAAGCCATGGCCACAAAATAAGCCACGCCACAAAATAAGCCACGCCCACAGAACCGGTAGTAAAAAAATTTAGAACCCACCCCTGGTTTCTTCCATCTTGTTTTCAACACTTCAAAAGGAGGGATCTTCCTCCTCGACTCCATATCACTTAGAGAACAAGTTGATTTGTGATCTTCTTTTTCTGAAACAAACTGTTTGTTGTTCTCTCAATTTATTTACAGTTCTGTGAAGATCCAAGATCCAAAGAGATGAGAATGGAAATACCTTGCCCCTTTCTTAGGAGT